GGACGCTCGGCCTCTCTGGGACTGGATGGCAGTGGGAGAGTCCGGACGCCAACAGGCTTTTCTGCATCCGATTGGATGATCTGTCTGAGCCTGTGTGCCAGTTCGATTGACATCGAAACGAGCCAATCACCGACCTTTTAGTGTAGGCATCCGAGTGAGCAATTTTTCAATTCGCATTCTGTTCTGAGTTGAGCTGGAGACTTCTCCGAATCATTTTAGCGACACTCTTTGTTGTAAACAAACAACTAGCGACAAATTAATCTTTTATTCCTGGTGTGTTTTATTGTAGTTCCTATCGTTGTTGGACACTAATTAAGTAGCGGGAAAAGACGCCACGTTGGTATGACAGGGTCACAGATCATTTTCTTGAAAAGGAATGGAGCTCGAGTAGAATTCATGTTGAAATAAACGGACACATTTTACGATGTCGGCCAAAATTGAGCTTCCCCTCTATGACAGACCAGGATCCCCCACGGCACCACAGCACAATAATCCATGTTGGCTGAGTGGCAATTAGATCAACACAAGTCTTTGGTCCAGGGAGGACATCTTTCAATCGCTTGTGTCCGATGTACCCAATGTTGTGACTAACCCGCGTACTTTAGCCCAGTGATTCCCAACCAGTGTGCCGTGGCACATTAGTGTGCCGCGAGAGCTCTCACGGTGTGCCGCGGGAACGAACCAAAATTCACGTAATTGGTAAGAAAACGATTTATTAACAACAAATAATGTATCTTTGTCCGTTTATCTATGCCAGCAACTTACAGTGACATCAAGAACAAATAAACGACCCTCTGTTAGATGGCAAAAAGTAGGAAACTGACAAATATATCCTCTTTTTGTGACAATTTTGTTTGTTGGTGTGCCGTGCGATTTTTCAAACTTAAAAAAATGTGCCTTGACTCAAGAAAGGTTGGGAATCACTGCTTTAGCCCATCCCATCTTGCCAAACTGGTCGGATTAAAGAGATTTTGGTCTCTTTTTGACTACATTGCCTAAAACCCGGTGGAACGAAAAAAGACGTCATGGACAAGACAGCTATTGTTTGTAGAAAAATATATATTTGGACAGAAAAGAAAGGAAAACATACTGTAATGCCCTTCAATGCGGAAAGAAGGATGCACGCAGTCGCTGATGCAATCTGTCGTTTTTTAAGAAACAAAAGAGCATGCTTGTGGAGGCTCTCAGTCGTACAGGAAAGTTCCATCGTAGAAAGGGTTCTGTCAGTCGTCATCTGTACCTGTGGGTAAAAAACAAAAACGGACGTTTCGCTTCTCTCACAGAAGCTTCGTCAGCGGTAGACAACCCTGAAGTCTCCGTGAAGACTCCGGGAAATTGCTCTGCGCTAAAAAGCTGAGCATGGCCTATTTGAGGACTGGGTGGGGATGGTTAGTCACGCCCCAATGGTGAAGAGGCCCATTGATTCCTAAATTCCCTGTCGTTGGGTCTTGATTAGCCCTATTATTTGGGCTAAGGCTGAATAGCTACTTTCAGTTAGCCTGATCAGCACGTCTATGTCCCTTGGTGGTCAACAAGTTATTGTAAATACGAGACAGGTTAAATCTGATACCTCCTTCACGGTTCAGAGAGGGTGAAATTTTTTTTACAAAAATCGCTTCCTTTACTCCCCTTTCAAACCATCTCTTTTCTGTTCCTAGGATTTTTACTTGTTCATCTTCAATTGTGTGGTTTGTTTCTTTTAAGTGTACGTATACTGCACTTTTGTTATCATTGTTTTTCCATTTGTGTTGAGAAAGTCTTTTCTTGAGTGTTTGTTTGGTTTCTCCGATGTAATGTTCCTTGCACTCACTTTCTTGGCAACGGATGGAATAAATCAGATTGCATTTTTGGGGGTTGGGAACCCGGTCTTTGGGGTGTACTAGTTTTTGTCGCAATGTGTTTATTGGTTTAAAATAAACAGGAATATCATGTTGTAGAAATAGTATTTGTATTTTCTATGAGAGGCCGGCAATATAAGGTACACAGACACCCCTTCTCTTCTTTTCTCTCTGTTGGTTGGTTTCCTCTCTGTTTGTTTTAATTTTCCTAACTTTGAGCAACAACACACAAAGAGCAATAACACACACATTGATAGGCGTTGCTGTTAGCCACAACTCACGCGCATGCGCTCCACACTCCGACTAACTGCCGGAGCCAAGACTGTACTGTATTCCCCCAACCTGGCTCCTCCCCTCTCTGTGACGTCACACAAATACCAGAAACAGATATTACAATACAGGTGACAGTGTATGTATTAATAACATGTTCATTTTGTTTTCTGTTTCTTGAGAATTGTATTATGATTTGTTCGAAGTTCCCCCAACCTGGCTCCCCCCCTCTCTGTGACGTCAAACAAATACCAGAAACAGATATTACAATACAGGTGACAGTGTATGTATTAATAACATGTTCATTTTGTTTTCTGTTTCTTGAGAATTGTATTATGATTTGTTCGAATAACGATTCTATTAAAAACAAAAAACAACACAGATGACAGGAAAACGCGTCGGTCCGACCTCGAGCGTCGTGTCTACTGTACTAACTGAGCTGTTGTCTTGGCTAGGCTAGCTTTGCTGGTGGACTATCGACTGCTGAGTCGCGCTTCACTCGAGTACCATCGCGACGGGGGTCCCCTCCTGGATCCGAAGTCGGCGTAGGCGACGAAGGAAGGAAGCCGTTGGAATGACGGGGAACGCCGACAGGAGGTGAAAGCAGGTAGGGAAGCAGACTCGTCGGTTTCTGCGCGCGGTTTGGCTCGATGAAGACGCCAGACACGATTTCACTGGCGGAGTGCTGGGCGAACGGGACATCGAAGCGCGAACAGCAGTGGATGATGTCGTGGTCGAAGTGGGCACGGGAAGGGCAGCCGTTGAGCTTGACGGACCCGGGAATGTGGCAGTTGCTGTCGATGAGGGAATTGCGGATTGAACGGCGGGAGAGGACGGACTCGTGCTGTCGGCGAAAGTCGCTGTTCGTGAGCGAAGAAAATGCTGCTCTCCAACTGCCGGTTTGAAACGGTCGATATAGACGCTGTCCTCACGGCCCATTCGCTGCTCGAAGGACGGATGATACCGAGCTGAAGCATGTGATCAAACTCAGCTTGAGCGATCCGTTGCTTCGCGGGGGCCGGTCGTCGAAAACACTGGAACTTGGCGGGACCGGTCGTCTCGATGTGATGAACGACATCGTGTGGCGCTGGTTCGGTCGTCCGCGCGGGGTTCGTCGGGTTCGGGAAACGCCGCAACAGGGTCGGATATTGCACTGATATCGAACTGTGTACAGTTCTTTTCTGAAACATTTATTTTGTGCAATGAAACACTTTGTGTGTGTGTGTCCCCCCGCCCCCCAATTTTGCTGCTGGTAGGGAGATGAAGAGGGTGCAGGGAGATGGGACAGACGCTGTAGACAATGGTCGGAGGTGGCTCCACGCGCCGTAAGGCCGGGCTTGTCGTCGACCAGCACCTTCGTGCGAACGCTGACCGACAAGTCAAATTCGTTGCTCGGAGGGAGGAGCCGCTGGTCGGGTGATAGCGCTCTGCGGGGGTTGGAGGGACGACGCTGACATCGGCGGCGGAGTCAACCATGAAGCTTCGCCCGGAAGTCCGATGGAGGACGTGAAGGATGCGGCTCGCAGCAGAGAGTTGAGTGACGTATTCACTTCATGACGGGTCCGTTTCCCGTCCTGGGAGGTGGAGCACTCTCGGCTGCCGCCACGTCCGTGAGTCATGCTCTGTTCACGGCTGAGGCTTCGGTCCTTGTTACGGCTCCAGAGTTCGGTTCGTAACGCCCGGACCTCGTCCTGCATGAGGCGCTGCGTCAGAAGGAGCTGCTGGAAGGCGTCCAGGTCCCAGATGGAAGGGAGTGAAGTGGGAGATAAATCCATTGGGGTTGCCAATTGAGGGGAAAAAAAATCAGAGGGAGTTTCCGTGGCTCGGAAAAGGGCTGGCTCGCCACGTAGAAGATTTTGGCCTCTTTTTCGACACATAGGCGGGACGAAAAAAAGACGACATGCACAAGACAGCTATTGTTTGTAGAAAAAAATAGATATTTGGACAGAAAAGAAAATGAAAACATACAGGTGACAGAAAGACGTGTCCATCCGACCTCGTGGACTAATGACTGCTGAGTCACGCTTCACTCGAGTGGCGTCGCTACAGGATGTTAGCCGTGCAATTCAAAGAATAAGACAACACAAAACAAAGCTCATATTCAAACAGTTTATTACAAGGTGACATTTCTGCCGGCGGTCTTAGAACTTCTGGAATTGCTTCTTGGCACCAGCCGCCTTTGTCACCTTGAGGACGTCTTGGTGAGAGGTCGGCACTCCCCGACCGTCAGTCACAAAGTCGCCGATCGAGACATCTCTACATTTGAGAAGGGGAAGAACAAAAACAAAAAAATGAACCCAACCTTCTCTCATTGTTGAAGAATCAAGGCTGCATCAGCAATGCAAAAAGGCGATGTCGTCAGAGTTTAACTTGGAGGACCATCGTGAGAAAAACATGTGCAGAGGTAAAAATTGAGCTGGGCAAATCCAAGAATGGGTTGAAGGTACCTGAAGCATGGCGACAGATGCACCGACAAGTTTTTGTGCCGCTTCTCAAAACAGTTGTACTTCTGAATGTACTGCAGGTAGTCGCGTCGAATGACGATGGTCCTCTGCATTTTCATTTTGGCAACCACGCCGAATTCAATTTACAAGCATCAGGATAGCCTTTAACACTGACCTGAGAGGATACGGCCACGGATGGAGACGTTTCCCGTAAAAGGGCGTTTCTTGTCTATAAAAGTGCCATCAATAGCCTGAGGGGAGAAAAAAAACAGAACAAGCATTTTAATTCACTGTTAATTCAACGAAATGCGCCATTTTAGATGGCATCTAATCGCATTAGCTTTGCCAAAAGGCGTCGTCGCCAAAACTCTGCAGGCTAGGAAGACCATCGCGAGAGAAACATCACTTGCAGATTCAATTAAGACTTGAACACGACTTGAAAATGGACCTCTCTTGGGGTTTTGAAGCCCAGCCCGACACTTTAGTGGTAACGGGGGAGCTTTTCTTTGCTCTCCTTGCCTCCATCGGCGGCCAGAACACGCTTCTTCTTCTGGAAGATGGTCGGCTGCTTCTGATAAGCCCTCTCTGTCTGCACAAGGACAAAAGTACGCGTTCACAGCACGACCAAGAACAACGACAAAAGTGATTTTAAGACGAGCTAAGGAGAACGTGAAGGTGGCTAAGCTAACAGCATTTGTCGTCGACCAGCACCTTCGTGCGAACGCTGACCGACAAGTCAAATTCGTTGCTCGGAGGGAGGAGCCGCTGGTCGGGTGATAGCGCTCTGCGGGGGTTGGAGGGACGACGCTGACATCGGCGGCGGAGTCAACCATGAAGCTTCGCCCGGAAGTCCGATGGAGGACGTGAAGGATGCGGCTCGCAGCAGAGAGTTGAGTGACGTATTCACTTCATGACGGGTCCGTTTCCCGTCCTGGGAGGTGGAGCACTCTCGGCTGCCGCCACGTCCGTGAGTCATGCTCTGTTCACGGCTGAGGCTTCGGTCCTTGTTACGGCTCCAGAGTTCGGTTCGTAACGCCCGGACCTCGTCCTGCATGAGGCGCTGCGTCAGAAGGAGCTGCTGGAAGGCGTCCAGGTCCCAGATGGAAGGGAGTGAAGTGGGAGATAAATCCATTGGGGTTGCCAATTGAGGGGAAAAAAAATCAGAGGGAGTTTCCGTGGCTCGGAAAAGGGCTGGCTCGCCACGTAGAAGATTTTGGCCTCTTTTTCGACACATAGGCGGGACGAAAAAAAGACGACATGCACAAGACAGCTATTGTTTGTAGAAAAAAATAGATATTTGGACAGAAAAGAAAATGAAAACATACAGGTGACAGAAAGACGTGTCCATCCGACCTCGTGGACTAATGACTGCTGAGTCACGCTTCACTCGAGTGGCGTCGCTACAGGATGTTAGCCGTGCAATTCAAAGAATAAGACAACACAAAACAAAGCTCATATTCAAACAGTTTATTACAAGGTGACATTTCTGCCGGCGGTCTTAGAACTTCTGGAATTGCTTCTTGGCACCAGCCGCCTTTGTCACCTTGAGGACGTCTTGGTGAGAGGTCGGCACTCCCCGACCGTCAGTCACAAAGTCGCCGATCGAGACATCTCTACATTTGAGAAGGGGAAGAACAAAAACAAAAAAATGAACCCAACCTTCTCTCATTGTTGAAGAATCAAGGCTGCATCAGCAATGCAAAAAGGCGATGTCGTCAGAGTTTAACTTGGAGGACCATCGTGAGAAAAACATGTGCAGAGGTAAAAATTGAGCTGGGCAAATCCAAGAATGGGTTGAAGGTACCTGAAGCATGGCGACAGATGCACCGACAAGTTTTTGTGCCGCTTCTCAAAACAGTTGTACTTCTGAATGTACTGCAGGTAGTCGCGTCGAATGACGATGGTCCTCTGCATTTTCATTTTGGCAACCACGCCGAATTCAATTTACAAGCATCACTTACCAGTTTAACACTGACCAGAGAGGATACGGCCACGGATGGAGACGTTTCCCGTAAAAGGGCGTTTCTTGTCTATAAAAGTGCCATCAATAGCCTGAGGGGAGAAAAAAAACAGAACAAGCATTTTAATTCACTGTTAATTCAACGAAATGCGCCATTTTAGATGGCATCTAATCGCATTAGCTTTGCCAAAAGGCGTCGTCGCCAAAACTCTGCAGGCTAGGAAGACCATCGCGAGAGAAACATCACTTGCAGATTCAGTTAAGACTTGAACAGGACTTGAAAATGGACCTCTCTTGGGATTTTGAAGCCCAGCCCGACACTTTTGTGGTAACGGGGGAGCTTTTCTTTGCTCTCCTTGCCTCCATCGGCGGCCAGAACACGCTTCTTCTTCTGGAAGATGGTCGGCTGCTTCTGATAAGCCCTCTCTGTCTGCACAAGGACAAAAGTACGCGTTCACAGCACGACCAAGAACAACGACAAAAGTGATTTTAAGACGAGCTAAGGAGAACGTGAAGGTGGCTAAGCTAACAGCATTAGCAATCCGGCTGCTAGCGTAGCGTCACACGAGGGTAAGCGGAGTTCCAATAGATTCCTCATCTAAAATATCTACTACACTTCTAAAAACCACCACCAGCGCGTTCTAAGAACCGCATGCAGGCTACGAAGAACATCGTGAGAAAAACAAGTGCCGAAGTAAAAACTGAGCTGTGAAAATCCAAGAATGGGTTGAAGGTACCTGAAGCATGGCGACAGATGCACCGACAGGTTCTTGTGCCGCTTCTCAAAACGGTTGTATTTTCTGACGAAATGCAGGTAGTCCCGTCTGATGACGATGGTCCTCTGCATCGTATTTTTTGTCACCACGCCAAATTCAATTTTCAAGCATCACTGGATAGCCTTTAACACTGACCAGAGAGGATACGGCCACGGATGGAGACGTTCCCCGTAAAAGGGCATTTCTTGTCCACGTAAGTGCCTTTAATAGCCTGAGGGGACAAAACAGAACAAGCATTTTGATTCACTGTTAATTCAACGAAATGCGCCATTTTAGATGGCATCTAATCGCATTAGCTTTGCCAAAAGGCGTCGTCGCCAAAACCCTGCAGGCTAGGAAGACCATCGCGATAGAAACATCACTTGCAGATTCAATTAAGACTTGAACACGACTTGAAAATGGACCTCTCTTGGGGTTTTGAAGCCCAGCCCGACACTTTAGTGGTAACGGGGGAGCTTTTCTTTGCTCTCCTTGCCTCCATCGGCGGCCAGAACACGCTTCTTCTTCTGGAAGATGGTCGGCTGCTTCTGATAAGCCCTCTCGGTCTGCACAAGGACAAAAGTACGCGTTCACAGCACGACCAAGAACAACGACAAAAGTGATTTTAAGACGAGCTACGGAGAACGTGAAAGTGGCTAAGCTAACCGCATTAGCAATCCGGCTGCTAGCGTAGCTAGGATTTCACGGTAACAATAGCTACCGATAGCGTGGCGTTATTTTAACGGTACCGAAAAATAGTTTAACCATTAAAGTCACCGCGCACGACTTGACTGTGTGATCAACGCGATTGATTTCACTGTGCCTCTATGTACGTTTGTGGTGTGGTGTGTGTTTCTTCTAATTTACTTTCGTTTTGTTTTCAGTGTTGGGGGGACGCAACAGATAACGTTATGGGCGCATGCGGGTTGCTATTTCAGTCCGCAAACTGCGGAATCGCGCGGATGAAAGTTTGAGATGGCGGCGAAAAAAACTCACAAAGGTCTACTAATTACGACATTTAAGAAATGGGAATGCCAGTCTAATTTTTCGTATGAATCGTCCCATCGACGAGAGGCACGATTACGAGGCAAGTTGGTCATTAGATTTGTAGGCTAATCGCTATGAAAAATATTGTGAAACAGTATTGGTTATTCTATAATTTACTGGTCGTAGCATGGTACCTTTATGAATAAAACATTCGTCACAAGGTGTTGTAATGCTCATGTTAACTGTTGGTAGAACTAATGATGACGTGTGTTAAATTTGAAGGTTGTTTGAAAAAAATGCCGACCGTAAGGTTTTTTTTTCGAGGTAGAAATTCTCGGTCGGTCGGGTTACCGGAAACACACTACTTTTTTTTCTACGCCTAATACAATGGTGCCATGAGTGCGTCGTGTTGCAAGCATGAACCGCATTCAATTCACAAGCATCACTGTCATGTTAGAAGTACCAAGAACTACACCGAGCCTCAGAGGGGATCGAGCCTTTTCCGTTGCTGGTCCCTCTCTCTGGAATGACCTCCCACTGAACATTCGGCAAGCCTCCTCGGTGCCCATCTTAAAACCCCGCCTCAAAACTCATTTGACTCAGATTTGTTCTTGGTTTTGCTGTTCAGTGCTTTCTACCGTCTTTGTTACCGATTTGTTGCACGTTATAGTTGCTCCACGTACAGCACTTTGTATGCAGCGATGGCTGTTTGAAAGTGCTCTATAAATACAGTTGAGGTGAGACTGTACAGCAGGGGTGGGCAATTATTTTCCCGGGGGGGGGGCAAATGAGAAGCAGAAAAGGAGGGAGGGCTTGGCCAAAAGTTAGAAATCGACTCCCGATTTCAATTTTATTTCTATGTTGAAATAAGTTCATGACATTGTTTACAGAAGCTGATAAGAGTGTGTATTATTGCTAGATAATTAAAGTGCACTTATTTTACAGAAAAACGATTTGTTCCGTGAAATTATGCAAAACAATTCTAAATGTGCAACATTTGTAACTCTTTTTCAGTCAGATGAACATGACAACACTTTCTGATTTTAACTTTCCCATGAAGGTAGCACAATGTCTTTGTATGCCAGTAATAATGGAACATAAGTCACATTTTTTGTCCCAACTGCCAATGTACAATAAATACAAGCAAGCATGTTTCAGTGTTTTGGTTTTTTTCTTGCTCAGTAGAGATCAATCTCGCCCAGGGGTGGGCAAACTTTTTGGCTCGGGCCCCCATTGATTTCTAAATTTGACAGGTGGGCCGGGTCAGCACAAGATACGGTACATATGAAAAACTGTGTATGTTGACAGTCCATACCAAACAACAGAACAAAAGCATTAAGGTATGAGCATACTTTTTTCAATGAGAACAGTGAAACAACTGTGGTATATGTCCTGTATGAACGTCCAAGTATGTTTACAACATACATGTGTGACAACACAAGCGACAACTACATTGCCCAAAAACTGCAGCATAAAGTACAGGTATATGACAAAATACAACAAAGTTGGGACTATCTGCTGCAAAATGAGACGAGTATAAGACCTGGCGGCTTTCTTTCCACTCACTCACTGTCTCGAACTTGACCTCCCCTCGATCGCCAACCAAGACAGCGTTGCTCAGCTGATGTCGTGCGACAAACTTTTGAACCCAGCCACAGGACGCTTCCAAGTCTTCGATGCCCATAGCGCGATGTAACTCGATTGCTCTTATTCGCGGTTCAGTTGGCGGAAAGTTTTTAGCGCGTGAACGGTCAAACCATTCCAGGAAACGTTTATTGACTGGACCGTCCGTCGAGCCGCAAGCAATTCACTCTGAGCATGGGAACAGCCAGAATCAGACTGAGCGAGAATCGCTTCCTCGTTTTTCAAAGTCTCGTAGATTTGAGCCTCTCAGACTCCAAGCGTCTCCTGAATGTTTCGTACTTTGTAACCCGTTTCGTTTGATCAGATACACTTCACTTTCTCTTCCGTGGCCATGACTGTTCCTCTTCGTTTGGATGCCATGATCTACATGACGTAAAAATGTTCGCAATTCCAGTAAAACTCACTGCTATAAAGAGTCGCTTGCGTGTCGCCGTTTTGGATCCAATGATTGAAAATAGCGGCGCGGACACACTTATTCCCTCGTATCGAGCGGAGTTCCTTGAGTCGGAGTTACTTGAGTTAGCGATACCGCGGGCTTCTGTATCGTCTCCCCCTCCCTCCCTCCCTGTGCTCTGCAACTTCAAGTAACTGCGCCGCCTGGCGTTGAAATGCCTCTCATTACAAGTACAAATGAAATGAATGCAATAATTTACATCGGACCTTAATTGTGTACTGTACCAACCTTCGGCGGGCCGGATTAAATCGACCAACGGGCCGGATGCGGCCCGCGGGCCGAAGTTTGCCAAGGACTGCTGTACAGCCTTTAACATTGACCAGAGAGAACACGGCCACGGATGGAGACATTTCCAGTCGAGGGGCATTTCTTGTCAATATCAGTATCATCAAGAGCCTGAGGGGAGAAAACAGAACAAGCATTTTAATAACTGTTAATTAAACGAAATGCGACATTTTAGATAGCAACTAACCGCATCAGCTTTGCCGAATGGTGACGTCGTCAAAACCCTGCAGGCTAGGAAGACCGTCGTGAGAGAAACATCACTTGCAGATTCAAGTAGGACTTGTAAATGGACCTCTCTTGGGGTTTTGAAGCCCAGCACGACACTTTTGTGGTAACGGGGGAGCTTTTCTTTGCTCTCCTTGCCTCCATCGGCGGCCAGAACACGCTTCTTCTTCTGGAAGATGGTCGGCTGCTTCTGATAAGCCCTCTCGGTCTGCACAAATACAAAAGTACGCGATCACAGCATGACCAAGAACAACGACAGAAGTGATTTTATGACGAGCTACGTAGTACGTGAAGGTGGCTAAGCTAACCGCATTAGCAATCCGGCTGCTAGCGTAGCGTCACACGAGGGTAAGCGGAGTTCCAACAGATTGCTCATCTAAAATATCCACGACACTTCGAAAAACCACCCCCAGCGCGTTCTAAGAACCGCATGCCAATTTATATTCAATAAAATTGGGCTTGAGTGTGAGTTAAAAGGTAAAAAGTCGTTTGCAACACCCGGGCCGTTTTCTCGAACATACTTGTGCGCCCGCCATCTTGGCCAGCCGAGTTGGAAAGAGGGCTGAACACGCGCGCAGCGCACGGAAGTCTGTCAGATCGGCCAGAAATGACGCAATACAACTATTCTTTTTCTCTTTTCATGATTATTTATTCAAGATATTGCAAATTAATTGTTAGTGATGAATGTATTTTTTAATCACGTTATTGTGAACAGAAAACAAAACGAACACGTTCGTAATACACGCACACGTTACAAACATTGAAACAAAAAGAAGCCATGAGATTTTAAAACAAAAATTTCAAATAAGGAGCATATAGCCAGAGTCGTAACAGCTTTCTTGTTTTTGGAATTGTTAAGATATTATTCCTCTCTGTTCGTTGAATTTGAAAGAAACAATGTAGAATGCTATTGAAGGTATTTCCGGTTTTCTGTGATTACAATCACCTTTGGTACCCCCTCACCCCCACCACTTTTAGGACCCCTCCAGAGGACATGTCAACATCAAAAGAAGAGCTGTTATCTCCAGTTTCTGTGTTGCAGCTATTGAGGGACTGCGCCTGACTATGAGGACTATTGATCCCAGTCTCTTTCCTGAACATCTGTTTGCACACCTAAAACAACGTATGTAGTGTTGAATTTTATCTTCTTCCTCCTTGGTTGATTCACGGACCCCCCAAGTGTCTTCTGTTGTCCCCCCGCACCTTGGGTAAGTCCCTGATAGCTGTTAAGACCCCCCCCCCCCCGGAAACCCGCTTTTTCCCGGGTGGGG